CGTCTAAAAAAAAAAAAAAAAAAAAAAATTTTTAGGGTATCTCCACATATGGATTTTGAATATCATAAATACCCTGGGAGATAGGCGGGGCAGCTATAATTAGTATTACTTTAGAGATTAAAACTCAGCGATGCTCCCAGAGTCTCATCTGCTGCTTCGCATATCGCTGATGCCTGCTGGAGCTGGCATTTCACCCCCAGTCTTTAATCCGTGGGGAAATGTTCTTCCCACTATTCCATGCTGCCTCGCCTAGGTCACCCAGACCCTAGAAATGTGATTTTGATGCTTTTCATCTATATCTGTACTTGGGACCATTCTTGCTTTGTAATTTTTCTCATCTTTTGCTCTGCCAAATTTGAATATCAGATAGTTTAGCAAAACCATTTTTTAAGTTAGTCAAAGCAAAACAATATTTAAGTCTCTTCTGCAAAGCACCTCGCAAATCTTTTGCCTCTCTGCTTATAGTTATGAATAGTAAGGTGAGCCATTGAGGGTATAGCTGACCTGCATTTTTTTTTATTTTATTTTTTTTTTTATTTTTTTTGAGACGGAGTTTCACTCATGTTACCCAGGCTGGAGTGCAATGGCGCGATCTCGGCTCACCACAACCTCCGCCTCCCGGGTTCAGGCAATTCTCCTGCCTCAGCCTCCTGAGTTGCTGGGATTACAGGCACGCGCCACCATGCCCGGCTAATTTTTTGTATTTTTAGTAGAGACTGGGTTTCACCATGTTGACCAGGATGGTCTCGATCTCTTGACCTCGTGATCCACCCGCCTCGGCCTCCCACAGTGCTGGGATTACAGGCGTGAGCCACCGCGCCCGGCAGCTGACCTGCATTTTAAACGTAGGAACAAAAGTTATTGGTAATCAGCTTCACGTACAGCTGTGTTAACGAGAATGAGCTAGGTATGAGGGCTGGATTCTGGTGTTTGATATTATCTTTTTTACTTCCCTAGAATGTTTTGTGACCTCTCATTATTTGAGAAGTGTTTGTATTGAAGAGCTTGTCTTTTTACTGATCATATATTTTGGTTCTTATTTTTATTGTTTCTTCATGTAGGGGTCTTGTTCCTCGCCTTCTAGGTGACATCCTTTCTTTGTGGCTGTGTAACTCACTGGCTTACCTCGTCAATACCTATGCACTGGACAGTGGGGTAGGTTGTGACCTTGGTGAGATGTGCTGGCCTTGGCTTTAACCTGGCAGCTAGATTAGCTTTTAAAGTTAGATGACAAGCTTTGCACAGTGGCAGTATTGTAGCCATAAGGTTTATCCGAGGCGTGATTATTGCTAATTGAAAACTTTTCCCAATACCTTACCATGACGACTTGAAATGTAGTTGGCATTGGTAATTTTTGATAGTCGCTATGGAGACTGAATTAAAAAAAAAAAGTAAAATGACAGTTTACTACATGCCAGACTGAACAATTCTATAGCTAAAAATTATCGTCAAATGTTCAAATGCTAATGAAATGACCCATGCTGTTTACTATAGAGTGATCACCTTAAAAGTCGCTAAGATGTGACAGAGTATACCCAAGAGATTCAGCCCTGTGTTTGTTCAGGGCTTTAAAGAGATCACTTCTTTTTTTTTTTTTTTTTTTTTTTTGAGACGGAGTTTCGCTCTTGTTGCCCAGGCTGGAGTGCAATGGCGCGATCTCGGCTCACCGCAACCTCCGCCTCCCGGGTTCAGGCAATTCTCCTGCCTCAGCCTCCTGAGTCGCTGGGATTATAGGCACACGCCACCATGCCCAGCTAATTTTTTGTATTTTTAGTAGAGACGGGGTTTCACCATGTTGACCAGGATGGTCTCGATCTCTTGACCTCGTGATCCACCCGCCTCGGCCTCCCACAGTGCTGGGATTACAGGCTTGAGCCACCGCGCCCGGCCAAGAGATCACTTCTTTACTGATTCCTAAACTTTAGAGAACCTGGGAAAGCAGGACATCTTTATGGTATATCTGGGGATTTTCATCTAATCTGGACTATTAAGGGGGTGCCTATATTGGGCTTTCTAGAAACCTCAGCCTTTGAGAATCAGTATTAATCTAGAAGTTGTCAGCATTTGTGGGGCCTCTTGTACATAGGCAGCTCCATAGCATGGTGAAAAATTGAACACATCACGGGATATATAACTAAATCCATGTTGTAAACTTCTTGAATATAGAGAGGGATTTTCTTCAACACATCTGGTAGAAAGCTAGCTGTGGACAAAGGTAGTGAATTTTCCCTTAGATGTACTATAAATATGGTTTTCCAGGGACTGTATTTCTAGGACATGGGAAAAGTTTATCAGTCTCATTTTCTTTTTTATTTGAAATCTTTTTACAATCGTTCCTACAGCTTTTTAGTATAAGAATTTGTCTGTTAATGTTGAGTCAGGTTGATCATTTTGACCACTGCCTTATTATTCTAACAATCAGTGTTTTATGGCTTTGTCCTCAAAATTAATTTTAGCCAGGTGTGATGGTTCATGCCGGTAATCCCAGCACTTTGGGAGGCCGAGGCAGATGACTCACATGAGGTCGGGAGTTTGAGACTAGCCTGACCAACATGGAGAAACCCCGTCTCTACTAAAAATACAAAATTAGCTGGACATGGTGGCATATGCCTATAATCCCAGCTACTTGGGATACTGAGGCAGGAGAATCTCTTGAACCCGGGAGGCGGAGGTTACGGTGAGCTGAGATCGCACATTGCACTCCAGCTTAGGCGACAAGAGTGAAACTCTGTCTCAAAAAAAGAAAAAATACTTTGAAATTAGCTGGGCGTGGTGGTGACAGAGTGAGATCCTGTCTGAAACAAACAAAAGGAAAAAAGAATATATTGATCTGTTGTAAGTTTGTAGGCAATTAATTTAAGGCTGTTTTTCTGTTTTAGGTTTCTACCATGAATGAAATGAAGAGTTATTCTCAAGCTGTCACAGGAGTGAGTTTTTTAAAATCCTTTTAACCTTATAGGAATAGTTGTGTTTTGTTTTGTTTTCCTTTGAAATCTGGCCTGTGTCATCATTGCTTTAAGATAACCAGATGTCTCACTGGGACATCTCCCTCAAATTTGTTATATTTGTCAAAGGTAAGAATAACTCAGTTTTCGCCAGGTGCGGTGGCTCATTCCTGTAATCCTAGCACTTTGGGAGGGTGAGGTGGGCGGATCACCTGAGGTCAGCAGTTCAATACCAGCCTAGCCAACATGATGAAACCCCATCTCTACTACAAAAATAAAGTTAGCCACGTTTGGTGGCACGTGCCTATAATCCCAGCTACCCAGGAGGCTGAGGCAGGAGAATCACTGGAACCTGGGAGGTGGAGGCTGCAGTGAGCCGAGATCACGCCACTGCACTCCATCTTGGGCAACAGAGCAATACTCCATCTCAAAGAAAATAAAAAAGAGAATAAGACAGAGCCCCTACCTCACAGCCTATATGGTTTGGTACTGCTCAGCTTTCATAGGGAATATGCCTTTCTTATTAAATAATATTGTTCAGGCCAGACATGGTGGCTCACACCTGTAAACCCAGCACTTTGGGAGGCCAAGGGCAGGAGGATCACTTGAGGTCAAGAGTTTGAGACCAGCCTGGGCAACTGAACAAGACTCCATTTCTACAGAAGTTAAAAAAAAAAACAAAAAAAACATAGCCAGGCATGGTGGCATGCGCCTATAGTCCTAGCTACTCAGGATCAGAGAAGTCTTCTGGCTTTTTGTTAAAATGTTGGATGCAGTGGTGTGTTAAGAGGAAGAAGCATCTCTGGGCTCAAAAATGTAACAGTCTTTCCAGGGTACTGAGGAAGCGAGGCAAGTGTTAGTTAGAGTGTCTCACCACAGTGGCACTAGACCTGTAAGGCAAAGGAAAGGAGAATAAAGGTTAGGAATAACCTAATAACAGCTGCCTTTTTTCCATTTTGCAGTTTTTTGCAAGTATGTTGACCTATCCCTTTGTGCTTGTCTCCAATCTTATGGCTGTCAACAACTGTGGGTAAGTACTTTGTATTTCTTATTCTAGTAGGTGGCTGACTGTATGCTGACAGGTGGAGCAGCCTTGTAGAAATTCAGGAAAGATGAAAGATCAGTATCAATCTCTGGGTGGTATTTAAAAAAAAAAGGTGGGGAAAGAAAAGTATAATTGATATCATTATGAGATTCCTAATTTTTTTCTCTGTATGCCCTATGCAGCAGCAGCCTCAATTTGTATTAATCACTATTTTTTTGAGATGGTGTCTTGCTCAGTTGCCCAGGCTGGAATGCAGTAGCGCCATCTTGGCTCACTGTGACCTCCGCCCCCTAGATTCAAGTGATTCTCCTGCCTCAGCCTCCTGAGTAGCTGGGATTACAGGCATGTGCCACCACACCCGGTTAATATTTTTGTATTTTTAGTAGAGACAGGGTTTCACCCTGTTGGCCAGGCTGGTCTCAAACTCCTGACTTCAAGTCATCCACCTGCCTTGGCCTTCCAAAGTGCTGGGATTATAGGCATGAGCCACTGTGCTCAGCCAATTATTATTATTATTATTATTTTTTTTTTTTTTTTTTTTTTTTTTTTTTT